TGTCTTTACTGAGCCAAACCGGTTTTGGCAACATATTTATACTTTTAAAAACCAAAATGAAGGTATTGAGTTCAGTCCCTTTTATTCTCCTTTTAAATTAAATGAGGAATAGAATCAGAGTATAGTTATTGTTGGGACTATGGCTTAGTCTAGTAGTTTCTGGGAGAAAACTATCATTTCCCATGTTGATATATAAGAGTCTAATATACGTACACATACATGTAAACACACATGTACACACACTTTGTTTTCTTAAGTATTTGGAAGTTGCAGATACCATGACCCGTCACTTCCACATAGTCTACCATGCATCTCAACTACATCATAACCATTACAACAATTGTCTCAAAAATACCTTTTAGTTTGAATCCACAGTTAACAGGATCCATACACATTACATTTGGTCGCTGTGTCTCTACGTCTCTAAATTCGAGCAGTTCGCCCTCACCTTTAATTTTTTTTTAATGCCATTATCTTACTGCAGACGGCTTCATTTATATATGCACGCATTTATTGCACCCCCATCCCCACATTTAAAAGGAACCAAACACCATGAATTTTCAGTGTCTGGAACCTGGTTTGGTTTAGAAATACTTTTAGTGTTATCAAGGCAATGCTTTCTAAATTCACGGAAACCGCACATGGTAACGCATCGTGTCATCGCTGTCACACGACCGCATCCCAATGTAGCGAACCCCAACCTCGGGGTCGGTAGAGGCCGCCTCTACAGCAGGGGGCAGGGTTACCTCCGCCCCGAAGTCTGGAGTCCAGCAAGCCCCTTGCAACGCAAAGCCGAAAAAGAAGAGTTTTCAACTTGAAAACAAAGGAAAACTAAACGAAAAAGTGTCCTCTGAATCCAGAGAGAAGGCAGATTCCCCGAGAATGTGGTGCTAGGGAAACAGACCACCGAAATGACACAGACGGTCGAAGTTCTGGTTGAAAGAGCGTTCAGATCTGGTTTAAAAGCGGGGCCGGGGCATCCGTGCGTAACCGGAGAGGTGGGTGGTGGGCGCCCCGGGAGGGCGGAGGGCCGGGTAAACCCGCTCGGTTATTCCACTCGAAGAAAGAGCCGCCCTCAGCCCTGGCTGGTTTGGCTCAGCTGATAGAGTGTCGCCCTGCGAACTGGGTGGTCCCAGGTTCGATTCCGGTCCAAGGGCACATGCCCGGGTGGTGGGCTCGATCCCCAGTGGGAGACTTGTCGGAGGCAGCCGACCCATGATTCTCTCTCATCATGGATGTTTAAACAAAAAGAAAGAACCGCCCTTAGAGTGAGAGGGGTGGAGCGAGAGAAGGGAGTAAACATCAGGGAGTCACGCCGGTGGGTGAAAGGCGGGACTGAGCCGGTTTTTCCAGGGAGCGGAACCATCCGGAACACGGTGCCGGCCGCGATTCCTGGGACCGGCTCCCCCGCGCACAGGGCGAGACCGGCGGCACCCTCGGCGCGCCCCGCAGATGACTCAGGTGCTCGCTCAGGGGGCGTGACGGGACGCATCACTCCGCAGCCTCCGCCGCGGGAAGTAGTCCCCGGCCGCGCTGGTTCCTAAGGGAGCCGGGTGGGGGGTC